GATGTCTTGCACTTGCCCACCCACCCTGGGTGACATTCTAAGGGGTGTCTAAGCAAGCCTGTCTCAGTGCTGAGGACCTCGAGATCCACCTATATTCAAATTCTGGGTGAGTTGGCTATTTCAGGAAAAAAGTAGTGATCAATAAGTTTCCAATCCAGCAGAGCTTCTAAAAATGTTTTAGGATTCCAGTAAATGTGGGTAAAGAGGGAAAAAATGCCTTAGAAAAACAAGTATTAACTCAATTACTTTGTAACAGCTTTACCAAATTACATTTAGATGAATTACAGTCATAGATTGCATAATGATGGGAACAGGCTGTGAAAAATGCATCATTATGAGATTCTGTCTGTGTGTGAACATCACAGATTGCACTTAGAGAAAGTGCATGTATGGTATAGCCTACTGCGCCCAGGCTACAGACCTGTACAGCATGGGACTGTACTGAATACTGCAGGCCTTGTAACACAGCGGTATTTGTGTATCTAAACACAGAAAAGATACAGTAAACCTATGGTATTCGAATTTTATGGGTCCATCATTGACCAAAACATCGTATGCAGCACATGACGACATACCTCTTAATCACAACGCCTTTTAATTTTCAAATCACTTCACTGAAGGGTAGAAACGAAACAAAAAAAAAGATAACCTTGACAATGCATTTTTATTTTTAAAAGTACAATTCTACAAAACACTTGATCTCAATCACCAGTTTCTGGACCAGCAGCTGCATCACAGTGGTCTGGAAATTTAGGGAAAAAAAAAGTGCATGTCTGAATATGTGTGTGTATTCTATGGATGTGTGAGATCTTTTAAAAACTTCTATATTCTGAATCCAAACATCCAGAGTCTGATCCCGTGTATATTTTTAATCTGTATTTTGTTCATAAGCTCACAGGTGGTTATCATGAGCAGTCAGGCGAGGACGGATTGCTCTGAAACAACTTCCAAAACAAATAAGATCAAAACCCCAAGCTGGGATGTAAACAACAGCCTATTTGATAAGCTGAACGGATCATTCTGCATCAGAACACCAGCAAGCTGCGGAGAGTTTTGGTGAGGCACAACTCCCCGGGCAGAGTTGATTTCATCTTCCATTGCCCAATTCCCCACACTGCTCCCGAACCTTACAGAGAAGGGGCAAAGGCACCAAGGAACCGCAGGAGACTCAGATTCTGCCCTCTGCTCCATCAAGAAACATGGCTCCCTATGACTCAGAGGCCCAAACAAGGCTTCCTCCAGTGTTCTGCCAACCACCCAAACCTGTGCTGTCCAATGAGGCCCTATTTGGCTATTTACATTTAAATTAAATAAAATTCAGTTACTCAGTCCCACTAGCCACATTGCAGGTATTTATTAGACTCATGTGGCCAGTGGCTACTGTACTGCACCAGCACATATAACATTTCTGTCATCACAGAAAATTCTATCAGACAGGACTGACCCAAAGCAGTAATTTCATTATGAACAAGTGTTTGTTCACATTTTCCCTAATGATAGGTTTGGTTTTTAAGCTTTTGTCCAGGCCCCCACTTGAAGGATACAACACCCACCCAAAGTGACAGTGACTGCTTGAGTTGAGGAACACTGGCAGGGACAGGCAGGGAAATTTCTAGGCCAGGTGTAATTTGCAAACCACCCCCAGCCACAGGTCCCCACACTGCACCTCCTCCCATGGCTGAGAATCACTATGGTTCTTTAAAATTTTTTTAAGGAGCCTTGTTCCAATTCTAATCACAAAAATGCTAACCTTCTAAGATTAAAGAAAAAAAAAAAAGAGCGAGAGAGAGAGAGACAGACAATATAGAGAAAAGTATTTAGATGAAGGATCAGCCCATCTATGTAGCCACAACAGAGCCAGTTAGAACCCTCGCTCTTTGGAAGTCTTTGGAAGCAAGAAGATACAAAGAGTATGTTTTTAAAGTTTCTACTGTGAAGTCTTTAATGTAGACAAAGGTAAACAAGTTACTATGATGAACTCCCATGTACCAATCACCAGCTTCAATGCTGACCAAGTCAAGCCCATCTGGTTTCCTCCACCCCGCTTCCCCCTCCACCCTGACACCCTTTAGGTGGGGACAGCCAAGAAGCTGTGTCTACACTGAAGGAAGTGGGAGGCCAGCATGCAGGGGTGGAGGGTGGCCTGGGGGCTCTCTACGATCTGGGTGTCATCCTGGGTGACAGTTGCTAACTCTCTGAGCCCCGATCTCGTGAGACTGGCTGGGAGGAATTAATGAAACAGTCCCTGTGAAATGTTCGGCCTCACATCTGGCCAAGCACAGGCTCAGGAAACGTCCACTCCTGTCACCGCTCAGGCGCCTGTTCTCCTTCCGCAGCCCCACCGCTCTGCTTGCTCTTGGTTCCACCTTCCTCGATGTCTTCCTAACTCTTTTTAAAGCTAGCAGCGCAATTTGCTTTCATGGTTTCAATTTGGGAAGGGAAAAAAAAAAAAAAAAGCCTGCTACGGTCTGAGTGTGGGTGTCCTTCAAAATCCACGTTGAAACCAAATCACCAAATACCAAATGGAGGTGATGACACTGGGAGGGGTCCTCTGGGAGGGTCAAGCCCTCATACATAGGATTAGTGTCATAAGAAAGGCCCCAGAGAGCTGCCCCGCCCCTTCCACCAGGTGAGGACACCCCAAGAAGAGGGCATCCATGAACCCGGAAGTGGGCCCTCACTGGATAAATCTGCCCTTGTCTTGGATCTGTGACTTCCCAGCCTCCAGAACTGTGAGAATAAACATTTGTTGTTTATACACTGCCCAGTTTATGATATTTTGTTATAGCAGCCTTAGACTAAGACAAAGTCCATACAAAAAGAGATAATATGATCACCGCAGTTTCGGTGGCTTACGACTGCGCCCCCCACTGCTGCCGTCAGTACAAATAGGTGGAATAATACCAACCATGAGTTGCTGAGCTTTCATTTCATGTTGAGAACTGTGTTAAACACTTTATAAATATTATCTCATGGAATCCTCACAGGCACCCTGTAAGTTTCCATTATTATTTCCACTTGGCAGTTGAGAAAATAGATCCAGAGAATTTCAGTGACTTGCCTCAAATCACACAGCTGAGGAAACTTTGAACCCAAGTCTGCCTGAGTCAGACTTCCCATGCCTCCCACCACCAAACCACAGCTAAAATCCTCCTGCAGCTAGGGTTTGAGGTGAGACCCCACCCTTGCTCACCAAAATGAAAAGACATATTCTAAAAAAAGAAAATATCGCATATTCTAAAAAGAAAAACTGGGAAAACAGACTCACTTTTCAAAAAGCTATTTGATGCTCTTTTTTATTTCCTTGTTTTTGAGAGATAAGGTTAAAGGGGTTTTCAGGAGCACAGACAGCATCTCTCACCAATAGGAAAAGGGAAGAAACATAAAGAAGCACTTTATTACAACATTATGAACAATTCCCAGAGAAGAAATATCAGCTTGCAAATATAGGAAAGTACTCTGCAAATTAAAAAAAAAAAAATTACTTCTTGCATTTTAAATCAGTTATGCAAGAAAAGTCTGAGCCCTTCCTGGAAATAATTCATTTTCTGAGACAATTCAAGATAACAGAAGTTGAGCTACAACCTTGTTCCAATAAATTAGCCGCTCCAGAGACAGAGGGCCATGCATTATAAAAGCCAAATTTTTCAGGCCAGGCGAGGCAGCTCACGCCTGTAATCGCAACACTTTGGGAGGCCTACGTGGACGGATCACCTGAGGTCAGGAGTTCAAGACCAACATCACCAAAACAATGAAACCCCATCGCTACTAAAAATACAAAAAATTAGCCAGGGATGGTGGCACATGCCTATAGTCTCAGCTACTTGGGAGGCTGAGGCAGGAGAATCACCTGAACCCAGGAGTTGGAAGTTGCAATGAGCCGAGATTGTGCCATTGCCCTCTAGCCTGGGCAACAGCAGCGAAACTCTGTCTCAAAAACAAAACAAAACAAAAAACAATTTTTCTAGTTAATAAGTGGCCATGAGTCGATGCACTATGAGTTAGGAGATATTAGTAACTCACATAGTTAAACAATTTTTAAAATTTTTCTTTTGTACCACACATAGACAAAAGTTAACACAATTTAATAAAGTATAGTCATATAGCCCTACATATGAAAACCAGAAAACGTGACACATAAAGCTTAGATATTTTAATTAGCAGGAAGGCCCCTTTTACTCTATGCAGGTTTTGCTGGTTTTTTTCTTAGCTTAAGAGCCAGTGCGCAAGCCCCCTACTTTCTGTTAGTATTCAGTAGAGACTCTGCCTCTCCTCTCCTCTCGTCCATGAGCTAGCTGAAGGGCACAAATGTCATTCCTCTTTGAGATATAAGCACCTGCACAGGCCTGGCACAGAGTAGGTATTTAATACATGTTTGTAGAAAGTGGGAAGAGAGGCCGGGCGCGGTGGCTCAAGCCTGTAATCCCAGCACTTTGGGAGGCCGAGGCGGGTGGATCACGAGGTCGAGAGATCGAGACCAACCAGGTCAACATGGTGAAACCCCGTCTCTACTAAAAATACAAAAAATTAGCTGGGCATGGTGGTGCGTGCCTATAATCCCAGCTACTCAGGAGGCTGAGGCAGGAGAATTGCCTGAACCCAGGAGGCGGAGGTTGCGGTGAGCCAAGATGGAGCCATTGCACTCCAGCCTGGGTAACAAGAGCGAAACTCCGTCTCAAAAAAAAAAAAAAAAAAAAAAAAAAAAAAAAGAAAGTGGGAAGAGAAAAAACAATAGGAGAAAAAAAAAAAAACCAATAGGAGGAAGAATCTGAGTTCGTTCTGCATTTCTCCTATCACCATTGCAAAAGGCTTCATTGCAAGCCCAGCCAGGGACTTGGAGGAGGAAAGGGGAGAATGCCCAAAGCTTAATCGATAGGCTCTTTCCGCATAATTACATAAATCTAAACCCAGCCTCTTGCCCATCCTCCCACCTAGAAGAAACAGACAATGTAGACACCGTCCCTTAGAAGAGAGCTGAGAGGAAACAAAGCAGGCCTTGCCTTTTCGTCCTGGTACAGCTTGTTGACACTCTCCAGCTGGAAGTTGTGGCTGGACTGGATTTTGTCGAGCTGCTCCCGCTGCTTCTCCAGCTCTCCCTGGAACTCGTTCTTCTTCAGCTCCACGGCGCCTCTCTCTGCGGCTGCCCTGCGGACCCTGCCTTCCAGCTCCATGATCCGCGTCTACAAGAAAACTGTGACGTCAGGGCCGATGCCAAGTCACCCTCAGAGCCTGGACCACACCTGAGCACCCTCTACAAAGACCACCCTGAGGCCCAGAGCCAGCACTGGCTTCATACACACAAGTGCCCATGGCTCTGTGTTTGTTTTTTTTTTGAGACGGAGTTTCGCTCTTGTTACCCAGGCTGGAGTGCAATGGCGCGATCTCGGCTCACCGCAACCTCCGCCTCCTGGGTTCAGGCAATTCTCCTGCCTCAGCCTCCTGAGTAGCTGGGATTACAGGAACGCGCCACCATGCCCAGCTAATTTCTTGTATTTTTAGTAGAGACGGGGTTTCACCATGTTGACCAGGATGGTCTCGATCTCTCGACCTCGTGATCCACCCACCTCGGCCTCCCAGAGTGCTGGGATTACAGGCTTGAGCCACCGCGCCCGGCCGGCTCTGTGTTTTAAGTCCACTGTGCAGAAGCTGGAGCAGGTTCCTCCGGAGAAATGGTCTCTGGCAGTGCAAGTGAAGGAAGGCTGTGTGCACTCACACACTTCCCCCTGGGTTTTGTGAGGCTTAAATGCGCTAAGTGCATAGAATGCCTCATGCTTTACCTGGCATGAGATGGTGCTCAAATATTTAGTTCTTCTCTGCTAATAAATCGCTTAACAACTCTTTAGCAGACACAATTTCTGAAAACAGCTTCAGTTCTCCAACTCCAGACAACCACAGCTCATCTCCCCAGCAAACAGGGGCTCTTGTGGAAGCTGACACACCAGGAGCACAAGCCCAGGAGGGTAAGTGTGAGAGCAGGGCAGAGCGCAGAGGGGCTGGGGTGCATGGCTAAGCCCATTCGGGTGGAATCCCTGCTCCACTTCAACCTCCTTTTGGTCAGTCTGACCGCCTGCGAATCGAGGAGAGTGAAGTTCCAAGCTTGTAGGGTTTGTGCACAAAAGGAGATAATTTGTGTAAGGTACTGTTAAAGAGAAATTATTCTGACACTTATTAAAGTGACAAGAAAGACTATTCAAAATGATTTCAATAGGAGAGGGAAATTGTGCTCAACTCTGAACATATCCAAGACAGCCAGGGATTTGTAGCTAACGAGCACAGTCGGGGAAGTCAGTGGATGGAAATCTCCCTCAGAGAAGGGGGATTCTGGCTAAACTGCCCTAACAAGATTCTTGCTAAACACAGGCCAAGGACTTAGACAGCAAGGGTAGGAATGAGGAACTCGGTCAAGTATCAAAGGTGTAAGGATGGCATGGCAGGATCCTTTGCTAAGACTGGGCAGGGCAGGCCAAAGACAGGAAGAGGGAGTTGGCAGGGGCCAAGATCGAGGCCTAGTCAAGAAGGTGGCTCAGAGGAGCCCAGCTAAAGCTCGATCAAGAGGAGCATCTTTGTCACTGATCAGCACTGTACCCGACCTATGGCTGGCAACAGTAAATGAGGAAGTTAAAATTATCATCATCATTAAATCATGAAGACATATTTCTTACACCCATAATCCAAGCACACTTCCAGTACTGCTCCTCCATATCTTGTGCACTGGAGGGTCACAAACGCCAGGCTGTGGCCAGTGTCTGTAAGCAAGCTGTCTTCCCAGAACTACCCCAGCAGCTCAAACGAAGGCTATTAACTCACAGGAAAGGCGGGGAGGGATACCACAACCGCAATCCTACACAACCACAGAGGGGGCCTCTCCCACTCAGAGCAGAGCTGCCCAAAGTCTGGCCCAGGGTTGGGGGGGTATGTGCAGAGCCCTAAACTTGCCTTACAGCATATGCCCTTCCCAAAACCCCTTGGCTGGCAATAAACAGCAAACCCCTTGGACACCATTATAACAAAATAAACAAAACAAAAACATAAAATAAACATAACAATAAACAAAACAAGACACCTGGAGATCCACGCTCCGGGAGCTAGCAATCCAGTAGTTGAAGCCCAAGACGATGACGCAGGCCACCAGGGCAGCCAGCACGAGGGGTGGTGACTTCATGCTGCGACGCCCGTTTCCCAAGCCCATCATCTCAAAATCAGCGCTGAGAATCTGCCAAGCAAAAGCAAATACATAAGCCTCACTATTAGTATAATCGTCTCCAAAACAGACAGTGTCATCCTTACAACCAAGAGGAAAGGCATCCTGCCAGGCAGCATGGGCTGGCATCTTCTCCTTGACGGGCAAAGCTGTTGAGGGAGAAGAGTATATGGATGGCACACACACACAGGTCGCGGTGCCGTGCACCCAGGGCAGTGTGGCCAACTCCCAGGACAGGCTCGGCGGAGCAGGCATCGCCCCAAAACCTGTCACAGACTAGCTTGAGACTTCAGGCAAGGGATGATCTATCTTACACTTCAGATCCCTCCCCTGTAAAATCATTACCACACTCACCTTCCCGACACAGTTTGATAATTAATCATTTCTGTAAGCAGCAGTGTTTGAGAAGTAATCATTTCTGTAAACAGCAATAATATATATTAAGTGCTTCCACATCACATTAGAAAGAGTATATTCCTCATTACTTCTCTCAGAGAGCTTTTTGATTTGATTCCTAACAAGGGTTTTGTTTTGTTTTGTTTTGTTTTGTTTTAACCCATTGACAGGAATACTAATGACACCCAATTAAAGCATTTCTCAAGCAAAGCAGGAAACCCATTCTGGAGGTGAATGTGAACTCCCCCCGTGTACATCACTATGCATGCACAGTCCTGGCTATAGAGGCGTCTCTTCCTTCGTGGCACGCAACAGAAGTGGGAGGTGTGCTATCTGCCTGAAGTCACCAGAAAAATGTGTTCCATATTAGGCCTTGAGGTGGAAACGAGGCATTCACTCCATGCCAAATGAGAGCACCTTGTCCTTTGAACATTTGTTTCTCACTTTAGGGACCGTATCTGTGCAACTGCTACACTGTACGCCTCACGTGAGGAAAAACAGTGCCTCTGTGTGAGAGCTACAAAGTGCACAAAAATATATTCAGCTTAGAAGAAAGACGCCATCGTTGTTGTTAATGGGCTTCAATTCAAAGCCAGGTCTGGCTGGATGCAAGCACCGGTCTCCAGGAACAAGGAAAGTGTACTCTTCCAAACGGCTTTTGCTGAGCCAGATAAAACAGAACCTTATCAGAGTGAGAGCGCTTTCACTGCAATGGCCCCTCTGAGCACAGAGAGCCTTTCACACCAGAGTGTCTAGCAACAGAGGAGGGAAGGGAAGGGGAAGGTGGGGAGAAAGACAAGGGATGGGAGGGGAGCGGAGACCACCAAGGATCCACCTGCAAAACACAATTCTCACCAATGAGAACAAGGGAGAGCTGAACCTCACGCTACGGTCTCTCCAAGTCATCAAAAGCCTTCCTTTCTTAACAGCTAGCTACTATTGTGGGGGTCTGCCTGGGAATAAAGAAGCAATCTAGCCGAATCATCTAAAATAAAGCACCCCCAGAATTACCATGGGTGGAAATTCTGACCAGCTTCTGGCCTCTCAGGATGAAAGGGGAAACAATGTTTTTCCTTCAATTATCAGTTGATATCAGGAAGCACTGAATATACTCAAAGAGTATAAGCTCAGAAATAGAAAACTTCTAGAAGATTCTACAGATCTGCTGTGTCTCCATTGTCACATCTCATTTTGATCGCAAAAGTCTCTTTTTTGACTCTTAAACATTTTTAAACTTTTATTTATTTATTCTAGAGATGGGGTCTCTGTCGCCCAGGCTGGAGTACAGTGGCACAATCATGACTCACTGAAGCCTCAAACTCTTGGGCTCAGATGATCCTCCTGCCTCAACCTCTCAGGTAGCTGGGACTACAGGCATGGGCCACCATGCCCAGCTAATTTTTTAAAAAAATTTTTGTACAGACAGGGTCTCACTATTGCCTACACCGGCCTCACACTCCTGACCTCAAATGATCCTTCTACCTGGGCCTCTCAAAAGAACTGGGATTCCAGGTATGAGCCACTGCACCCAGCCTTAACCTTTTTAAAAATATATAAAAATACAAACACAACAGAGGGTGGTGAGGACTTTTCCAAATGGCTTTTGCTAAGGAAAAATGGGAAACTACACACAGTGTAAATTGGCTGGGTGCGGTGGCTCTTAACTGTAATCCCAGCACTTTGGGAGGCCGAGGCAGGTGGGTGGCCTGAGGTCAGGAACTTGAGACCAGCCTGGTCAACGTGGTGAAACCCCATTTCTATGAAAAATACAAAAATCATCCAGGCATGGTGGCATACACCTGCAGTTTCAGCTACTCAGGAGGCCGAGACAGGAGAATCACTTGAACCCAGGAGGTGGAGGCTGCAGTGAGCCAAGATCATACCACTGCACTCCAGTCTGGGCGACAGAGCAAGACTCTGCTTCCAAACACAAAGTATAAATTACATCACCTTCATCCTGCTTCAAAAGAATGGGATCCCATTTTCTAACATCTGGGTCCTTCTATTCCAGTGGTCCTCAACACTCAAGGGCCATCAGCATCACCTGGAACATTTTTTAAAATATCAATACCTGGGCTCTATCACTTCATTTCTTTCCTTTGTTTTTTTTTTTTTTTTTTTTTTTTTGAGACAGGGTCTCACTCTCACACAGGCTGACAGAGCTGCCCACTGGTGTGATCCCAGCTCACGGCAGCCTCAACTTTCTGGGCTCAAAAGATTCTCCCACCTCAGCTTCCCAAGTAGCTGGGACTACAGGTGTGCTCCACCACACCCAGCTAATTTTTTCTATTTTTGTAGAGGTCTCACTCTGTTGCCCAAGCTGGTCTGAAACTCCTGGGCTCAGTGATCCTCCCACCTGAGCCTCCCAAAGTGCTGGGATTACAGATTCGAGCCATCACACCTGGCCCCCACCCGTGCATTTCTAATTCAATGGGGTCTAGGGCAAGGCCCAGATATTGGTATTTTTTAACCTCCCCAGGTGATTCACATGTATAGCTGCTATTCTAGACGTTTCTAGATGTCATTCTAGATGTTTCTTGATGCATATATAAGCATCAATATATTTATTTTAATCCAAACAAGAGCATACCATTCATACCATTCTGGATATGCTTAGAAACACATCTTGCCCCCCTTTTTCAGTAGCACATTATGGTTTGCTCCACTCTTTTCAAAGGACTGAATAGGGGACCACTGCGTGCCAAGATTTACTTAACCGATCTCCTGCAGAGAAATATTCAAGGTTTTCCAGGCTTATTTCCAACAATGCTACCATAAACAGCCTTACACAGCTGTCCCTTGGTATTCACTGGGGACTGGTTCCAGGACCCCCTGAGGACACCAAAAGCCAAGGATGTTTAAGTCCTTTATATAAAATGTCATAGTATTTGCATACAACCCAGGCACATCCTCCTCTAAGCTTTAAACCATGTCTGGATTACTTATAATGTTTAGCACAATGTAAATGCTAGGTAATTAGCTGTTAAGCCATATGTTTAGGAACTAATGACAAAGTCTGTACACATTCAGTACAGATGCAACCACTGCAGGCCTAACTATATTTTTATTGTTTGTTTTTCTGAGACACAGTCTTGCTCCATCACCCAGGCTGGAGTGCAGTGACACAAACTTGGCTCATTGCAACCTCTGCCTCCCAGGTTCAAGGGATTCTCCCACCTCAGCCTCTTGAGTAGCTGGGATTACAGGTACCTGCCACCATACCTGGCTAATTTTTTTTGTGTATTTTTAGTAGAGACAGTGTTTCACCATGTTGGCCAGGCTGGTCTTGAACTCTCTGCCTCAAGTGATCCGCCAGCCTCAGCCTCCAAAAGTGCTGGGATTACAGTCGTGAGCCACCATGCCTGGCCAGGCTTAACTACATTTTGAACAACAGCTGGTTGAATCTGCGGATGTGCAACCCATGGATACGGAAGGTCAACTGTGCACCCATCTCTGTGTTTACAAACTTTTACTCATGTGGACAGTACCTTATTCACAACTTTGAAATCCAAAATGGTCTCTAAAAACTCAAAGAGATTATTAAAAATTTTTCCAACAACAAAACCTGAACTCAGATCAAGGTCTGATCAGAACTTATCTGAAGCTATTTATTTAAAGTCTTTTATCTTCTTCCCTTCATGTGAATACTCATACATTTCACTGCAGAAAGATAAGTGTTTGAGAATGGGTTGCTGTCCTAAATCCTCCTGGGCCTGTAACATAATATACAATAAATGCCCCATTTTATCTAAATTCTGAAGATTCCTGAGTTCCAAACCTAGCTGGCCTCAAGGGGCTTGAGATGAACCAACTCCGAGCTTACTACTGTGAGACAATGCTCAACGCAGGGGCTTGTATCAGCTTTGGGGGCATTATCACCCCCATTATACAGGAGATGAAATCAATCACATTTCTGTGGGATCTATTTCTGGATTGAAATGTATGTTTTTAATATTGACAGAGCTTCCCTCTCCCAAAACGGCTGGCAAATTACAAAGGGAAAAACAGTTCCATTACATGAAGAATCCTGGCAGACGCCACCTTAGCCATGTGATCAAGATTGGTATCACTGGTAATGAGGCATATCGACATCACGTACCCCGATATGCTGCTCTAGGAGAGAAAAGCACCTTTATGTCTCCTGCCAGGGATGCATAACCTCAATTTTATCAGGAGAAAATTCAGAGGAAGTTGAACTGTGAGACATTCTATAAAACACTTGGCCAGCACGGTTAAAAAGATAGTGCCGGGCTGGGAGTGGTGGCTCAGGCCTGTAATCCCAGCACTTTGGGAGGCCGAGGTGGGTGGATCATGAGGTCAAGAGATCAAGACCATCCTGGCCAACATGGTGAAACCCCGTCTCTACTAAAAACACAAAAATTAGCTGGGCGTGGTGGCGTGCGCCTGTAGTCTCAGCCTACTCGAGAGGCTGAGGCAGGAGAATTGCTTGAACCTGGGAGGCAGAGGTTGTAGTGAGCCAAGATGGTGCCACTGCACTCCAGCCTGGCACCTGGCGATGGAGTGAGACTGTCTCAAAAAAAAAAAAAAAAGAAAAAAAATAGCGCCAAGGTTTATCTCTTAATTTTGATAAATTCTCTGGTTAAGGGGAAACAGGG